ACCTTTTAATTACATTTGGCCCACCAGATAATCCAGAGAATCTCCCTATTTTAATGTCAACTGATTAGCAGCGTTAGCTCGACCTGCAAACGTAACAGCCCTTTGCTGTGTGACCTAATGTGTTCACGGGTTCTGGCGAGTAGGACGTGAGCATCTTTGGGGAGCCGTTATTTTGCCTGCCGCAGACTTACCAACCGTGTGATACTATTGCCCGTAGCAGATTTTTAGATCCATGCCTAAAATTGAAAATGGTTTTTCTAATTCTTAAATCAAAGACTGCGTTTTTACAACAAATGTAAAACCGATGGATGCTCCATCATTTCAATTTCCTCACTTCCTTCTAGAGCGCAGCGATCTCTGTGGTGCGGGTCATTCAACGGGACTTTCCTCCCTTGTCCGCAGTTCCTCAACTGAGTCATATTTACTTGTTAAAAACATTTTATGTATCACTTTTTTCACTTTATTGTTCATGAAATTACTAATATTCTTTGGATGCTCTGTCTCTGATAGTGATAATTTATTTCATTACTTTTTATCCATCTTACATGTTCGGCCCCAAGAAATTTACCATTGTCTTTTATAGATATTGTGTTGCATGTAGCAAAAGCATTCTTTTTTTTTTGAGATAGAATCTGGCTCTGTCACCCAGGCTAGAGTGCTGTGGCATCATCATAGCTCACAGAAACCTCAAACTCCCAGGCTTAAACAATTCTCCTGCCTCAGCTTCCAGAGTAGCTGGGACTACAGGTGTGCCCCAATGCCCAGCTAATTTTTGTATTTTTTTGTAGAGACGGGGTATCACTATGTTGCTCAGAATGTTCTCGAACTCCTGACCTTAAGCCATCCTCCAAAAGTGCTAGGATTATAGGCGTGAGCCACCATACCCGGCAGAAAATCATTCTTATGCTTGACTGAATATTGGACACAATATTTTCTTAAGAACATCATACCAATGTTGCACATTGACATTTACCTGTAACTGTTTAATACCAACAATGGTTGGCTATGAACTCAACCTATTTAAGGCTCTAATAATTGCATATATGTTGTGTGCAAGTGATGTTTTAAGCCCCTTTAATTGAGAGCCTAAGTATTCTCTGCTGCCAGGACTAAGCATGGTCCTGCAAGAGACAGTGGCTTCCTGTCCAGATCCGTGCCAGGCACACAGCAGGTGCTCTGTAAATGACAGGTTATAATTGAGGCAGTAATTCATGGTCTTCCTTTCTTTCCTCCCCATCCTCCCCCTGCCCTCTGCCAGTAAACACCTCACCAAATTCCCCCCTTGTTCCTAACTATTTCCTGTCCTGGCTCTGTGTTCACCTTGTCCCTCTTACCTTTTGTGGTGAGCTGGCCTCTGGGCAGGGAGGTGGCAGCACATTGCTGAGGCAGGAGACCGGGCTCTGACGCCAGAGGCAGCTGCAGCATCAGTGTGCCTTGGGAGCTGGTTAGAGATGCGGACTCCCACCCCAGCCACCACTCTGCACTAATCCCAGGTGACCTGCAGACACCTGCAGAAGAAAGTTTGAGAGGTGCTGGCTTACAGGCTTTGTCATCCTGAGACACTTGTATCAGTCTGCTGGGGCTGCCAGTAACAAAATCCCACAGGCTGGGGGGCTTAAACAGCAGAAAGTTGTTGTTTCATAGTTCTGGAGGCTGGAAGTCCAAGATCAAGGTGTCAGTGGGCTGGTTCCCTCTGAGGCTTCTCTCCCTGACTAGCGGATGGCCACCCTCCTGCTGCCTCTTCACAGAGTCCTCCTCTGTGGGCACACCCCTGGTGTCTCTGCGAGTCTAAATTTCCTCTCCTTATGAGGGACGCCAGCCGGACTGGATCAGGACACACTCCACCGGCCTCATTTTAATTTGGCAACTTTCTGACAGACCTTATCTCCAAATGCAGCTGCATTCCAAGGTACTGGGGGTTAGGACCTCAGTGTACAAATTTTGAGAGGGATGCAATTCAGTCTATAACGGCACTTTGAAGAAGAAGAAACTGAGGCTCAGAGAAGTATGCAATGGTCCAAAATCACACCGCAGGCCAAGGGATGAGAGTTTCATCTCTGGACAGAACCCGCCTTAGGGGCAGCGATGAATGACAGTACACAGGAGGCTGGGAACTGGAGTCTGACATTTGCATTTAGGTTTTAGCTTTGCTTCCGTTATTTCTGGGAACTGGGACAAATGCCCTAACCTCTCCAGGCCTCAGTTTCCTTTTCTGCAGAATGGGGACAGTAACAAGCTCTTCCTCACCAGGTGGTTGTGAGGACTCAGACACCTGGACAGGAAGTGCAGAATACACGTGCACGGCGCCTGCGGCCTCGCGGTGCTGCTCTGCCTCTTCTCTTTCCCTGCTGTCAAAATCCGCTTATTTACCACCAGCCAAAATGCCCAGTTATTTTCCCCCGGTGATTTGCAGTTTAATAGCTAGAAAAGCCAAAGATTTAAAACTGTCATGGCGGAATTTTAGGCACCAGCTAGCAGGTGCACAGGGGCCTTGGCCATGCAGGGGAGCCTTCTGGATGCTTAGCCCGTGGCAGGCACTAAAAGGGAAAACTGGCTGATGTGCCCTCCCAGCCTGAGGGTCTGGGGGTTCTCACTTCTAAATAACAGGCTGCACACGATTTGATTTCATTTCACTCTAAATTGTCCAGCCTGCAACCAGGGATGCAAGGTGGAGTCCCGCAGATCAATTCCGCTGTGCAAATAAGCAGGCGCCTGCTTACTTGGGGAGGCTCAGAAATGTGTCGAGGCAAGGATTGTAATTTGCCTTTGGGGTCAAACTGGGTTTGGAATACAAAATTGTTTCCAAGTGTTTAGCTTGTCATTTCAATGTACGTAGAGCACATTCTGTGAAGATCTTCTCTATGCAAAGCACTTCACCGAGGCTAGAGTGGGAAGACAGAGAGAACTGTCTCCTTTCCTGCACTCAGAGGAGCTCAGAGCAGGAGCGCACCTAACAGCTAGCAGCGTGGTCCAATAAACAGAGGTTCACGGTGGGGAGGGAGAGGGCAGGTCAGTCTTCTTCTTCAGACTCACACCCTGAGTCACCTGGGCAGAGTGTGGGTGGCCTCTTCCTCCAGCCCCACAGCCACTGCCCACTGTGGCTGGCACTGTGTATGAGCTGCCTGCAGCCCTGCCCCGCGCACTCCCTGCAGGCCACCCACATGCCCAGTGCTCTGCAGACTCGACTCTACTGGCCTCTTGTCCTAAGGGCTCCTGCTTCACGGAGTCTGCTAACTTAACTCATGTGAAGGAAAACACCATTAATAATTATTGCTCCTTCCTAGAGTCTGCATTGTAACAAGTGGCCAGTGTTTTAATTAATTTTAAAAAAATTAAAAAGGAAGAAAGAAACTTGAAAAGTAGAATGACAAACGCAGGGAGGAGCTCTCAGGAGCCGTACTTTCTGTTGGAGGGCTTCCCGGCTTCCCGCCACGCACACGCCACCGCCTCCAGGGGGAGGCGGACGGCCATCGGCCCGTTTTCCTCCTCGTCGTCAGCCCTGGCAGGGTGGGAATCTGCAAGTGAAGATTCCTGCTTTCCGTGATAGGAATCTGTTCACCATAAACCGGCACATCAGCAGAACTGAATGGTGAATCAAAAACTGGAACAAATCACTTTAATGACCTAAGACCCAAACCTAATTCAGATAGTGTTTCTTCAATGGACCATGAACCAACTTCATTATCTCCCCTCCCCCTAGTCTACCAGTTTAACCCAGAATTGAACTAAGAGTTCTCTAAAGCTTGGAGCCACTGTTGGAAGGGAAGGGGCTGACCATCCTGCTAGCAAACCTGCCCATTTTATAGGTGACGACATGGCGGCCTGAGAGCTGTGGCCTGCTCAGGGCACCCCTGGGCCCGGGTGTCACTCCTTACTCTGGTAGCCCCTCACTTTCTCCACAGGTCCGTGGGACTGCTTGCCTTGGAACCTCAAGGGATAGCACAAGTTGTGTTATATATTATATATTATATATATATATATATATATTTTTTTTTTTTTTTTTTTTGAGACAGGGTCTCACTCTGTCAGCCAGGCTGGAGTGCAGTCCTGCAATAATAGCTCACTGCAGCCTCGAATTCCTGGGCTCAAGCGATCCTCCTGCCCCAGCCTCCTGAACCACAGGCGCACACCACCATGCCCAGCTAATTTTTAAATTTTCTGTAGAGATGGGGTCTCCCTTTGTTGCCTAGGCTAGTCTTGAACTCCTGGCCTCAAGCCATCCTCCCACCTGAGCCTCCCAAAATGCTGGGATTATAGGCATGAGCCACCACGCCTAACCCTACTTCTTAGTTTAACGGAGGCTCTCCATTCAGAAAGACACAAATCAGGCCGGGCAGCTTGATGCCCCATATTTCACCTGACCAGTACGAGTTTCTCACTGGGGGTGTTTTGGGGGAGGAACTTGCTAAGTGGGCTGTGTGGAGGGAAGGGTTGAGTGGGCCCTGCCGTGGCCAGCCGCCTCCTCCTCCCCCTCCCGCAGCAGCTACCAGCATCATAGTCCTCATCATCAAAAGGCCTTTATGAAGCGCCTTGGTGAATATATCCTGGCTCTGGGGGGATCTTCTGCAGAGATCTTCCCACCAGTCCCTGACACCTGGGGCTTGTCGGCTCAGACAGACAGCATATATGTCAGCTAACCAAGAAGGCGTCCAAAAACCGGGCTGTAGGCCCCAGGCAGAGGGTGTGAAAACAGATTCTTAGGCAATATTCATGCCAAGAGTAAGTACGTCTGGAATTGCAAAGACAGGCTGGATTCTCGAAGGGGCCCTGGCCCTTGAATTCTCTCCTCCTGCTGGCTGGAGGCTTCTTGGGGGACATGGGATTTTAGAAGCTACGGGGAAGGACGAGGACAGGGAGTGGAGCAGCTTGACAGGTCGAAGGCTTGGGGTCAAGCGTTACAGGTTCACAGTGCACAGCCAGGGAGAAAACTAATGTTGCTAGAGATGTTCCTCCTGAGACCTCCATGCCACCCTCTGGGTGCCTTTTTCTTCTCTCTGCAGGTGTTCCGTGAGCAGGGCATCCTCTTTGGCTACCGACATCCACAGAGTTCCGCCACTGCCTGTATCCTCAGCCTTTTCCAAATGACCAATGAGACCATCAACATCTGGACTCACTTGCTGCCCTTCTGGTATCTCTGGCCCCCTTGACTGGCCCGTCTCATTCAGGAGCCCTGGGGACCAGGCCTTCTTTCAGACACACATGGGGTTGGGAGGGCTGAGATTCTGTGCTGGGATTTGGGGATCCCCACGGGTGCATGGGCAAGAGGTGAGTGTGTGACAGAGGGGGAGAACTTGGGTCGGCCACTGGGATGAGCTTTGGGGCATGGATCGTGGTAGGAGCTGTCGAGGGGCTCCCGACAGCTCCCCAGTCCTCCCTTGCTCCCTGGTCCGGTGCCTGATTTGACAGCATCTTCATCTCCTTCGGTCTTAGAGGCTTTTTGTGTCTCCCGGGAGTTCTGGTTAAAATGTCACTAGCTTGAGCAAGTTACTTAACCTCTCTGAGCCTCACATTTTTCTACCTGCAAAGCAGGTGTGATGGTCTGCACCTCTCCCAGGATTGCTGTGAAGATTTGGGGAGAAAATGTTGGTAGAGGCATTGAGCACAGAGCTGTGGGTGCTCCATAATCATTCTGGGAACCACAGCAACTGGGTGGCACTGGCCCAGGCCCACGGTGGTGGAGCCAGCTAAGAGCAGACTCTGGGAAGCGATTATACAGAAACAGGAGTTGCCAAGCAGGCGAAGAGGAGCTTGCTGAGAGAGGTGTGGGCCGAAGGTGACCTTCACATCCCGCATACCTTTGCTTACTGAGTGGGCAGTGAAGACAGGACGAAAGCGCCTGAGGCCTCAGGCTCCCAGCACGTGGGCAGCTGGCCTGACCAGAAGTCAGAAGACAGATCTTGGGGCCAAAATGCAGGGCCAGGCTGTTTGGTTCCAGCAACTAGCCCAGTGCTGAGGGAGAGAGCCCAGTCTGGGGGCAGAGAGGGGTTATCTGTGAAGAAGCGTGCAGCCCTGGGCCTGCGGGCTGGGTAGGGTGGCAGCACAGCCCTGCTAAGGGGCCATTTGTCATTCTAAATTTCTACTTAGGTAAAAAGCATACATGTTGATGAATCATAACACTGCGGAAGGGAACAGTGAGGCTCATTCTCCTCCCTGGAGTGGCCAGGGCGACCCGTTTCCTGAGCATCCTCCCAGAGCCCTTCTGGGGATGCAGGAGCATCTGCGACGTGCATGTCCTCAGTGCCCGCCTCTTCCTCTGCTGCTCTCTCCTGGCCTCTCTCCCTGGGACACCTCACTCTGTCAGCTCCCGCGAGTCTCCCTGGCTTAGCACAGCTGCCTGGTGTTTCATTTTATAGATGAACCATGGTTGACTTAGGCTGTTTTGAGATTTGTGCTGCTAAAAAGAGTGACACCATGTTGGTCCTTGTTTGTTGGTCTTGAGCTCCGTGCATGGATCCCTGTGGGGTGATTTTTAGCTATTTTCCAGCTGAGCCACCCTGGCTGAGCCGCCCCACTGCCTGTGGCACCCCCACACCACGCCAGGCTCTCAGAGACGATCCCGACTGAGCAGCACGGAGCAGCAGGCAGGGCCTGGGGAAGCCTAAGAAAATGGGACCACTGAACAATCCAGATGACTAAAGGATACGTTTTGAGAAAGAGCAAATAGATTAAGCCTTACTTCCCCTGGGACAAGAGGAGAAAGACCACAAGCGTGGCCAGAAGGATTTAGCTACGCTCCTTCAGTTCCTGTGTGAAGAGCTTTGTAGAGCCTCCTCCCCTGGAGACGTCAGTGGGGACGGGAGCCAGCTCTCTGGCAGTGGTTTGTGGCGGCGAGGTGCCCTGCAGGCAGGACCCCACGCGTGGAGGACAGAGCAGGCAGATCCGAGGCAGAACGGCGCAGTGTCTCCGCATGGAGATCTAAGCTTGGCTGAGAGTCAGCGTTCAGAAAAGTGACTGCAGTCCTAGGGGAGGAAGAGTGTGGAAGAGAGGGAGAAAACTGTCCTCTTGTCCCCTGGACTTTCATGGTTCCACCTGGGGGATGGCTCCTGTTTGAGGAGCTTTCCTACAAGAGGGACATAGACAAAGTAGAGGGGACAAAGGCAAACCACGAGGATGGTGGTGATGCCAAATTTGGATCCTGGGAGGAATGATTGAAAGAATTGGGGTTATTTAATGTGAAATTGAAGGAGGTGGGAGGGGGTTAGGAAGACTGCCTTAAAATATGTGACGGGCTTGTTTTCTATGATTCTTACGAGAACGAAGGCCAATCAAACGGAGATAGCTTCCAGGGACACAGATTTGAGCTCAATGAAGGAGAACTTCCCAACATTCAGAGCTGCCTTGGGAGGTGGTGAGCCTTCCATCCCTGGCAGCATGTAAGCTGAGGCTAGAGAATAACTTGGGCAAGATGCTGTAAGAGGGATTCCACTACGACGTGAGGGGGTATTGGACTAGACACCTAAGATACCTAGACACCTAGATACCTGAAGGCTTTCTCATCACTCTACCTGCCCACTCCCAACTTACTGCCTCCCAGTTAAAAAAGGACCCACCCAACCTCCACAGCACACAGTGTGTCCCCCAGAGTGAGCACACAGAGCTCAGTCAGCCCAGGCAAACGGAGACAGAACACAATCGGGTGGAGATTCAAGAGGAACCCCCGTTGTGGAGGCTGAGTGGGCCCCGCTGTGTTCCAGGTTCTTTGTGTGGAGGTTTGTGACTGCACTGTATGTGACAGACATCCAGAATGACAGCTACTCCTGGCCCGTGCTTGTGTACATGTGCACCAGCTGCGTGTACCCCCTCGTGTCCAGCTGTGCACACACCTTCAGCTCTATGTCCAAGAATGCCCGGCACATCTGCTACTTCCTGGACTATGGCGCCGTCAACCTCTTCAGCCTGGGTACGTGTGGCCCTGCTCTTGCTTTCCCACTCGCCCCTCCCCCTGTGAGCTGGGATCACCATAAGGCTTTGGTGTGCAGAGGAGTCAGGGGAATGCCAGCGCCCGCCTGGGTTCCTGATGAGTGTTCTGTAAGAAACTCGTCTGTATGTGTGCTGCTAAATATTTAGCCACCGGCTCTCTGGGGCCGTCAGCCCTGACCTGCAGTGTTTGCCAATTTCCGTGGTGTAAATACTCCCTGTGTGGCCAACTTCAAGCTACCAACATGACATCACCAAATGCAGAGGTGGAAAGAGATGCGATGGGTTTAATTGCAAGTTTACATAATTTAATTTTAATGATGGCTGTTTTTAACAATCGGCTTGCAAGATCCTTGAAACTTTACTGTGGCTCTCACAGGCCAGGATGAGCCGGCTCCAGCACATCCGTGCTTGTCTCTTTCCTGTGTGTCCAGAGGCTGATAGCACTTAAGAGGTTTGCTCAAAGTGCCACAGGAGGAGAATTGGTGAAGTTGGGTGTTGATGTCCCGAACTTCATTGTCTTTTTAACTACGATGGCCCTCCTCCTGCCTCCTCTTCTCCCCTCCACTGTGGGCACCCATCCCTCTTTCTCGCTCTGGCCCTGCTCCAGGTGTGAAAGCCAGTGCTTGTCTTCCCTTGCCCAAGAGGTTGTCCCCAGGAGCCCGCATCCACCCCCCATCTCTCTCTGCCTTCTGCAGTACCTGTACACACACACACACACACACACACACACACACACACACACGCCTCTACACTCTGCTGTCCAGTCCCCACCGCTCGCTAAAACTGCTTCCAAGGCCCCAGCCTCCTCCTGGCTCATGGGATGGATGCAGGCATTTGGGGCCTTCTCTTCTGGGATCTTGCAACAGACTTTGAGGCAGGGTCCCTCCCGCCTCCTCGCGCCCCTCTTTCTCCAGCCCCTGTAGCATCAGCCCCTCCCAGTGCCCCTCCCACCCCCACACTCTCATTTTTCTGCTCTCCTTCACACGTGGGCCGGCTCAGGATCAGCGGGCCTCTTCTCTTACACCATCCCTGGGGATGTCCTCCACGCCCACCCTCTCTTAACACCACTGGATAAACCTGCCCTCCAGTTTAAGCCACTGACCTGAGGCCCAGGCCACCTGGGAGCTGTGAGAACGGGACTGTCTGTCTGCTCCCACCCTGCCCCTTCCCTGACGCCCCAGGGCCCCACCGCCCACCCATCCTCCCCAGTGAGAAATCTGTAGCTAACCTCAAGTCCGATCTAATCAGTTACCCAGTTCGGCTGAGCGTCTCTCCTACCTACTCTGTTGCTCAGCCCCATCTTGGCTCAGGCCCCAGCCTCTCTCCTGCCCCATCCGCCCCACCTTCCAGGCCACCCAGCTGCCCCCACCCAGGCTTCAGTGTCTTCTACCAAGCTGCCCTCCCACCTGGGGGCCCTCATTTCCTGGGATGCAGTCCAAATCCCTTAGCCGACGCTTCCTTGGCCCTCGACCGCCTGCTCCAGACTCGTGTGTTGGGTGCAGGCATTTTGGAGTCATCGCTACACAGCGATGTTCCGAGCCCTGACGGTCACCAAGGGGCAGCACGATGCTGTGCTTAACGGCCTGGGTTCTGGAGCCTGACTGCACCACTCCCAATGGCTACGCACTCCTGCGAGAGTTTTTTAACCTCTCCAGGCCTCCGTTCTCTCATCCACAAAATGGGCATAATATCTTCTTCATAGGAGTGTTCTGATGATTAAGTGTGTTTTCAGTGAAGCTTGCAGGACAGTGCCTGGCCCCAGTAAGTTTCATAGTGTAGCCGTTACCACGATTATCTTGCTAGCCCTGAGGGCAGACCCCTGAGGTAGGCACCGTCATCATACCAGTGCTCTAGGTGCAGACGACGAGGCACCTGCAGGTAAGTGACCAGGGCCACACAGCTTGTAAACGGCGGGGCCGAGGTGAGAACCGCCGGTGTGTCGTCTGTCTTCCTCCGTCACTGGGCACACTGTCCGCCGCGTAAGGGTTCCCCCAGCACCATGGTCTCCCTTCTCTGCACCCTCCCACGGGCCATTCCCTGGAACTCCCTCCTCCCTTCCCCGCAGGGCCTTCGAGGCTCCGCCCGGGGTGGGGGGTCCTGCCCTGTGACCCTCCTCCAAGCCCCTGGCTGGGCCTGCCTCCCTCACGGCTCTGATCCCAGCCTTGTCAGCGGTGTCTTTGCCCGGGGCAACCCCCTGAGCATAGGAGGTGTGTCTTTCGTATTTGGCTTTCCGGCCGTAGCCGGCACTTGACGCGGACAGTGTTTAGCGTGCCGCGGACAGTGTTTAGCGAACGTGGAAGGAAGGGCCAGCCGGTGAGAGCCTACTGTGCCGTCCAGGACGCCCAGCTGCCTCTCCTCAGCTCTCCGCCCCCCACCCCGTCGGAGCCCCAGTCACTGAGTGTGGCCGTCCTGCAGCTTCCTCCCTGCTTCCAGCTGTTCCTCCCGGGGGCCATCCTGTGCACTTTCACTAGGTTTTGGTCTCTTAGCCCCCTACTCAGAATCCCTCAGTGGCTCCCTACTGCCTGAAAGAGGAAGTTCACTCTCTTTAGCCTGGCACCCAAGCTGTCCCTGCTCCTGCTCCCTGGACAGCCCCCCTGCCCTCAGGCACCTGTTGGGATCCTGGCTGACGTCCCAGGCTGTGCTCCCAGATGCGGTGCCTGGTGTCCCGCTGGCCCTGACCCCATGCCCTCCTCTAGGCTCTCCTCAGCTTTGCTTCCCGCTGCAGCTTTGGGCAGGTCTGAGGCTCTCTGCCTCTTGTTGGGCCCAGAGCTTGACGAACACTTCAGCCCCGTCAGCATCCACTGAGTGAATGCCTCCTGGTCCAGATGGGAACTGCCCCTGTACCAGGCCGGGAGAAGGGCTTGTCTGTCCCCTGGAGGCAGCGCCCAGCTGGAGTCTCATGGGCAGCCCACGGGAGTGGGACGTGGCTGGCATCACTAGATCTACCTGGCAAATGGCAGAAAAGGCAGAGCTTGACCCTGCATGGCCCAAGGCCTGTGTCAGCCTTGAGCTAGGGTCCCAAGGTTCTTGATGTGTTTGGAATAACAGATGACCTTAGATGTGTCCCTCAGGCCCTGGGCTTGACAGATTTTCAGGCTGCCTGTCCCAGAGGAGACCTCAGCAGGTCAGGGTGCAGGTCCAGGCCCCTCTCTCCAGGTGAGGCACACCTGGCCCCTTCGGGAAGAACAATAATCTTCCCTATTCTTCAAAATAAAGGCTTCAGCAAACAAGACTCTAGAAGGTCCTTAGGTAATCCTTCTCTTACAAACTCCTACACCTAAAACAAAATTCAACATCCGGCCTCTCAGCCCACTGATATGACATGCCCCACATGGGGCATGTTGGCGCTCCCTCCAACGCTGATCTGTCCACAGGGACAGCCCTGTCTCCAGGCAGGTGTGACGTGCACGCTCAGTGTAGAGCTGAGCACGCTGGGCTTCCATCGTGGGCAACAGAACACAGTTGAAAGCGGGGACTCTGTCACTAAACTGCCTGGGTTTGAAGCCTGATTTTGCTACTCTATGGCTGTAGGACCCTGGTGAGTCACTCAACCTCTCTGTGCCTCTGCTTGTCTGTGAAAGCAGGATAAGTGCAAGAGTTACGTGGGAGGGTGGTCGTAAGGGTTACGCGAGGTAATACGCGGAAAGCTCCAGGGTGGGGCGTGGGCAGGCAGCGGGGAGAGGGGACATTCTGGGAGGGGCAATGGCACAAGCAAGGGTGCAGAGCCAGGACCGTGGTGAGTCCTAGGGACAGGCGAGCTCACTGGCTCTAATTCCTGCTATGTTTTTTCCCTTTCACTCAAGCAAGCGCGTTGATTGGGGCGTGAGTGCCAGGGATGTTCTCAGGGGGACGACTCTGCTAGTTTGTGCAGCTAGCTGTAGAAGCGAGCTGCCCCAAACGCCGCGGGAGGCTGGCAGGGTCCACGTGGAACGTAGGCCCGGCCTCTTTCCCACGGTTTTTCTCCCCCAGGCTCGGCCATCGCCTACTCCGCGTACACGTTCCCGGACGCGCTGGTGTGCACCACCTTCCACGACTACTACGTGGCCCTGGCCGTGCTGAACACCATCCTCAGCACAGGCCTGTCCTGCTACTCCAGGTACCAGCGCCCTGACCTGGCGGGAGGGGAGGGGAGGGGAGGGAGGGCCTAGCGTGCAGCTCCATGGGCCCTCCCGAGGGACCGCGTAAGAGGTGGGCTCAGTGGAACGGGCACTTGGGAGCTGGGACTCGGTGGACTTCCTATGGCTGGGCAGGACAGCTTCACGGACATGCAGGCCGTGCGGTCACCCCGTGCTCAGAGAGCCTCGTGCTTGGTTTAATACTCTGCTGTCTTGAGCTTCTTAATAATTTTTGAACAAGGGAGTCCTGCACTTTGATTTTGTACCAGGCCCTACAAACTATGTATGGGGTCCCACTACTGGGTAAGTCACTTATCCTCCTTGAACTTCAGTTTGCTCATCTATAAAATTATGAGCAAACTTACATATACCTCTGCGATGAAGGTAAGGATTACAGGTAATGTACCCAGGGCACCTGGCATGAACCTGGCACAGAGGAGACGCCCCATAAAAATGCGATCTGCTAACAGTGAATGATGGGCTTGCCGCCAGGCGCACGTGATGGACGCGGATGATATTCAAATGTCCGATGCGTCCCAATGCTATGAGTCATGCCCAGCTCACTGGCTCTAATTCCTGCTATTTTTCTAACTTTCACTCAGGATAACTCACTGGTTGGAGTGTGAGTGCAGGGAATGTCGTTATGGGGATAACTACACTGGATTATTCAGCTCTTTGTAAAAGTGAACTGCCCCAAAGCTCTTGTTCCCTAAATTACTTAGGATGCTTTGCAAATGGTTGTGTCAGGGTGACAGCCCTGTCTAGATAGCGCCAAGGTACTGGGTCTTTCCAGGCTGGGGACCTTCCGCTCAGGTCAGGAAAAGCGCTGAGGTGGGCGGGGCACACCTGAGTTCGCTGTCCCCCCCAGAAGCCATTCTAGGGAGCCGGTTTGAGGCTGCCCGCCTAGGACTGCTCAGCCCGCCGCACCCCCCTCCCCAGGGAAAAACAGGGAGGGTGAGACATGCCTCTGTGACTTCTCCAGAATGATTTGGCTCCAGCTTTCTTTGGGTGGCACTCAGGACTCCTGGGACTGAGGGAGAGTAGGCAAGTCTCAGAAACTTGACAAACTGGTTTTGGTTTTTTTTTTTGTTTTTTTTACTGGAAAAATAGATTCTGAAACAGCATCAGGAATACTCGCCCCAACTTGCCTTCCATTTACCTGTCCTGAGAGCTGCTTTCCGTGGGAGTGAAAGTCTCCTTTCTAGGAGCTCCCGCCATGGGTGAAGCTGGCGTAAAGCACGTACAAAGGTCACGCTGGTGCTGAAAGCAGCCCCAAAGAGACGAGGCATGAGCCCGAGGCACAGTGCATGGACGTGTGGACTCTGGGACAGGCACTGGCCCAGGAAGCTGGGCACCTGGACCTGGTCCTTGGACCAGTCACTGCCACTGTCTGGTGGCTCCTCCAGGGCCATGTGGCTCTGGTGTTTGGAATGTAGGATGAGAGGGAGGACAGCACTGTGGGTTGAGGAGGCAGAGAAGGGTTTGTAGGTGGAGAAGAAACAGTCCTAGAGTTAATGATCCAAGACCGCTTCCCCAGGAGCTGCGAGTGCAAATCCTAGAATATTTGCTGCTTTTTTTTTTTAAAAAAAAAAAAAAGCTCCACGAATCACCTATAAGCCACCAGGGTAGCTTACTGTCCTCTAGCCAGGAGTCTTCCCTGATTGTTCAGATACAATGGATGGGTCTCTTGGACACAGCATGCCTGGTGTGTTTGGATAAACCTGTTTGGAAGGGCAGCTTTGCCAGACATCTCTTGAGTGCCCAAGTTTGGGGCTTCTCCCCTTGGCAAGGAAATAGATTATTTCTGTTTATTTATGGAGTGCATCTGTGGCTATTCCATCCACCCACCCACCCACCCAACATTCCTTCAATGCCTGCCATGTCCCAGGCACCAGGGTAAGAGCTAGGAATGCCGGGAGGAGTAAGATGCTGGCCTTCGCACAGTGAGGTAGGAGAGGCAGACTGTAGACGCCCCCCAAAACCCAGCATGGGGCCATCATTTCCTTTAGCGTGTAGACAAATAATGATAATGCAAAATATCCCCTGCTTGGGTACATGGAGGTTCCGAGAAGTGGCAGTAGTCGTAAGGAGGGAGGTAGGACACTTTAGCTGGAGAGGAGGGAAGGGCCTTTGGGGCAGAGTGAACAGCCCGGACAAGGGTGAGGATGCCAGAGAGGATGGGCCAGTGCGGGCAGCCACAAGGAGCGTCAGAGCTGCCAGAGCCTGCACAGCTGGGAGCAGGCAGGGGCTAGAGAGGGGCTCAGAAGGCTGCTGGGAGTGTGTGTGTCCCCTCGGGGCTGGCCCTCTGCTCGTGAAGGAGGAGAAACTCTTAGGAAGGGATTTCTGTGCCCCGAGGAGCTTCCAGGTGTGTTAAGAGCCCCTGACGTGGGTGTTGCGGGGTGTTGGGGGCAGGGGATGGGGGCTATGTTGGGACAGAAAGGGAGAAAGGGGCACAAACCACATTCTCAGAGCCAAAGGGCGAGGGGGCATCCCATTGTGGCCCTTCGGGTTCCCTTCGCACCTCGTGCTTGTTCCTTGTTCCCGAGTCCGTGGCTTCCCTGCTCTTACGAAGCCTGTCCTTCTGGGCTTTCATTTCCTGTCTCTGCCCTCGCGTCCGGCGACGCATGCGCAGGAGGGACGCTGGCCATAAGTGACTGCACAAGACGCAGGTAGAGAGGAGGACACAGGGGGCACAGGGGGACCTGGATTTCAGACCTGCTCCCTACAGACTTGCTGTGTGGCCTCGGGCCAGCCGTGTCTACACCTTCAGTAAGGGCATCTGAGAAGACCTGCCTGGGTTGGGCCCCCGACGATGCCAGCGCTGCAGAGTCCTTTCGCTGCCTCTCCTCCTGCTCCCTCAGTCCCAGGCGGGGAGGAGTGGCAGAGAAGCACCTTCCCCTTCCCGGGGCAAGCGTCAGCTTGTTAGCTCCCCGCACGCTTACCAGAACACCAGGGTTTAGATGGCATTTGCTCCATTACAGCCCAGACCATCAGAGTCATTCTCAACTTAGAGAACCTCGTAGTCCCTGGGGTGGTTTTTTGGTTCTTATTATCGTTATAGTTCAAATGAGTATGTCCCAGAAAGCTGCCTTCTCATTCGGTAGCACGTGCAAGGAAGTGAGAGAATGTGTGTGCCTTGGAGCAAGGTGAGCGTGACCAGCCCGGGTCTGCTCGTCCTGCCGGCTGTCCAAGTGCTTGCTGCGCGGCACAAGGCGCTATAGACCATCCACATCCATCCAACGCGTCCAGCTGTAGATTTTTTTGACAAAGAGCTGCCGAATGAAATGCCCCATGGTCAGTACCGTGAGGGGAGAGATTAACGTCCATCCCTGGTAGAAAGTGAGCAGCCCGCGAGGATGCCCTGGCCGTGCAGAGGGGCAGGAGCCGGCCTGGAAGCCGGTTTGGGGGTTGGAGGTGGAGGCGGAAGGTTTGTGTATGCGCCTCTGCAGTAGAACGAATTTTCCGCCGGCCGGCTAGTTTCAAGTACCAGTTCCAGAATTCCGGTTGCTAATCCTTCCAGCTTTGTTGCAACAAGATTTATCAGGTTTAGAACAGACCAGTATTGCATTGACCCTCTCTTAATGAAGGCTTCTCCTAAAATCCAATGTTTCCTGCCAACCTCATTCTGGGCAGAGGAGTCCTGGCTCCCTACAAACCAGCCCCGCAAGCCTCGGGTGCAGGCAGGCTTTGGAGGCATTGGGGGTGTGGGTGCTGTGGAGGGTGCTGTGGCTCTGGCCCCACTCCTCAGCCTCTGGCTGTGGGGACACCCTGTGGCATGAGGTGGAATTGCACCTTGGTAGTGGGAGGCCCCTCTCTGAGGCTACTGGCCCTTCTGCCTTTTTTTCTCTGTTGCTGTCTCTCTCCTGTTCTGCTTTTCTCCTTCTTTTGTTCCCTGTAGACTCGCCTTTGCAGCTGGAGAGGCTGGCCCATTTGCCCCTGGGGAAGCACTATATCAGGCCGGGCAAAATGTTGTCTCAAGTCGCAGGAAATCCATGCTTTGGGGGATGGCCCTCGCCGGCCACAGCCAGATTTCTCCGTGTGTAAGTGGCACAAGGGGCGCGCTGTAGGAGTGAGCCTCTCTCAACGCAGGATCGGCAGGGGCGGCAGTGCAGAGGGCAGGAGGGAGCGGGCCTGCCAGGGTGGACTGAGGAGCCAGTGGAGGCAGGTACCGTGGCTCTCGGGGTGTAGGGAAGGGTAAAAGCTGTCGCGGCCTGAGGCCTGCTCAGCCTGCTTGGGGGAGGCGCGGGGGGTGGGGTGACATTTGGGAGCCGGACAGCCCTGAGTTTACATTCTACCTTTTGCTTTCTTATCGACTCATCTGACTTTAGGCAAATCACCCAGAACCTGTCTGTTCGCTCCTGTTCCAGTGTTCTAGTCCAACACAGCTATTAATATATGATGGGGAGGGGAAGAGAATGGAGCCCCCTGATGCGTATGTTTTGTTTTGTTTTTTTGAGACAGAGTCTCTCTCCGTAGCCTAGGCTAGAGTGCTGTGGTGTCATCACAGCTGATGGCAACCTCATACTCCTGGATTCAAGCAATCCTCCAGCCTCAGCCTTCCAAGTAGCTGGGACTATGGGCATGCACCACCATGCCCAGCTAATTTTTTCTATTTTTAGTAGAGATGGGGTTTTGCTTTTGCTCAGGCTGGTCTCGAACTGCTGACCTCAAGTGATCCTCCAACCTCGGCCTCCCAAAATGCTAGGATTACAGGTGTGAGCCACCGCACTCAGCCAATACATATGTTTTTTAAAAGCTGCCGTTCAGTAAGCGTGACTCTGTGCAATGCATGATTCTAAACACTCTGTAAGCATCATTTCATCAAATCCTTACAACAGGGAGGTTCTGTTATTGTCCCTCTGTTACACATGAGGACTGCCGAGGTCACATGGTCACACGGAGCAGTCGGGAGAAGAACCCAGTGTCTCCTGATCAAGCTCTCCACGTGAAATCACGGTACCGCGTGGCCTCACCTCTCCCAGAGTTTGTGGTTTAATCCACGGCTGTGGTACTTGTTTGAGGGATGGTGGATCAAGGTCCCTTCCTCCTTCTTGAGCGTCTCTTCCTTCTCCACCCAGTACCTACTGTGTGCTTCTCTGATTTACGGGTGGGGTCAGGAGAGAAGCAGCAGCACGCCGACGGGCTGGAGTGATGCCGGAGCTCGTCTTTGGAGGCCGTGGGGCTCCTCAGGGCCCGCAGAGGTGTCCCTTGCCGGTGAAGCAGGGTCCCTGTGTAGGTGGTTTTTGCTCGGCTGCCCTGGGGACTGGGTAGAACACGTCAGCCTGGACAATGTCCACATGCTCAGACATGCTTCTGGGCTGGGTCTGGGAGATCCAGACTGGCCAGGCCTGATACCTGTCTCCAGGGAGGGCCCCCGCCCACCAGGACGTGGGAAACAGGCAGCAGTGGGGTTTATGGTCAGTGGCAGCACTGGCTCATAGGGGACATGACAGCTGGGCCAGAAGCAATGGGCCTGGGCTCAGAGGGACCTGGGACCGAGGGTCTGGGGAGCAGAGGTGGAAGCGGCAGCAGGACATAGATCCCATCCCAGCAGAGAGCATGACGAGCGGCAGAGCTGTCAGCAGAGGTTGAGAGGGCCTGCATGCATGCGTTGCCTCTACAGAAGCATTGGAACGGCCGCTCCAAGAGCCTCGGCGCGTGGCTCTGCATAACACCCCTGCTGGCTTCCCACAGGAGGACCCGACCCTCCACAATACACCTCAGCGTCCAAGTGGGCTCTGCGCCTGTCCCTGCCTCCTGCGCTTGGCTGCCAGCCGGGACACGCGAGCACTTCCTTCCCTGGGACTTCCTTCAGGGATGTGGTTTTGTGTGGACATCCTCCCGGCCCCTCTGTTTCCTCCCCGTGTCCGCCTGCCATCTGTGCTGCCCGGCTCCCCACACCCCCAGCTGCTGCCCCCAGGCAGGACCCAAGCAGCTGAGGGCCTGTCATGTTCTTTCCTCTCTTCGTGACGGTCAGCACCACTTGTTTTAATGTTGGTGTCATCTGTCTTCGGATAGGAGGCGGGTGGGGTGGCGAGGAAGGTGAGAAGGAAAGATTTCACATTTACTTAGTCTTCCCAGGCCAGCGTCCCCGGGTGTGGTAAAAATATTCCAGAAACCTCTCCAAGGCTCAAACACTGCTTGAACCCAGGTCTTCTGCATGAGAATCACCTGGTGGCTCCGGCCAGCTGGGTGCGTCTCAGCCTCTGCAGGGTGTGCTCGCCTGGGCTCTGTGCCAGTGGGGCCACCCACACTCCTTCCACGTCTCTCTGTCCTGGCAGTTACTGGACTTTTAAAAGGCTCTTTGGCAGTTAAATAACTTGGCCTGTGGGTTTCAGCCCAGTGCCTCTTCTCTGGCTTGGGCTGGATGCCACTGCTTCTCACGTGGGAGGAGATGGTTCCTCTGGGGATCTTTTCACCCCTGAGGTTTTGTCACCTCCATCGGGGTGGGAGAAATGGACAAGGCTGGCCGCAGGAGGTTGTGCAAAAACGCCTGTCCCCTGTTGGTTACCAGCGCCCTCAGGAATTTTGGGCGTGTGCATGCCTGTGTGTATAAGTTACTGAAACTCTTTTCTTTCTGTTTCTCCCCACTCTCCTTCCCTGATTTAGGTTCCTTGAAATCCAGAGGCCCAGGCTTTGTAAGCTGCTCCGCATCCTCGCCTTTGCTTATCCCTACACCTGGGACTCCCTCCCCATCTTCTACAGGGTAAGGGCCGGCACTGTCTCCTCTCTGCCGTTGGCAACACCAGGGAGGCGGCTTCCCGAGTTTCAGGGGGTCAGAGCCTGCGCTGGGCACCGCAGGACACGGCGGGAGCCGAGACCCAGGTGCTGCCGTGCTGGCCCTTGAGGAGTGGTTAGGAGACGGCGTGGACACAGAGGTCCTGGCGGGCAGCGTGAGTGGGGCTTGGGAACGTTCGCAGAGCCAGGCAGCACAGGCACCTGGGCTTAGGAGAGGGAGCTGTCTACTCGCTGCCAGTCCTGGGGCAAGTTCTCTCCACTTTGGTTCCCCTCCTCTGTAAACAGGCATGATGATAACCCTGCCATCGGGCTGTGGGGAGGATTACACGTGGTAACGTATAAAGTTGGCTGGTGGCAAGAGTCCTATACGTGCACTATTGTATATCACCAACAATAAGTGTACTGTCGATATTGAAGGGAAAGGTATGAATGAAGGGCTTAAAGGAGAGACGGGAATTAGACGGAGAGCACAAAGGGAGAGGGTGTAGGAGGGACGACAAGGACGAGAAGGGGAAAGTCCATGCACTCTCAAATCACATGGGCTTGAGTTCAAAGTCTGGTCCCACTGCTTGCTGGCTGTGTGACCCTAGGCCATGCACGTAACCTCTCTGAGCCTTAGTTTCCTCATCTGTAAATGAGGTTAACATCTCTTCCTTCAGAGGGGGTAATAAGGATTAACCAACTGATCTGATGGGCTCAGCCATGCCTGGCACCTGGCCAGTACCCAGTGAGTGGAGTCCCCCTCCCAGAGGCAGTGACTTGTGTGTCTGGGGCATGAAGTCCAGATGGCAGGGCTGAGGGGTGAAGGGGAGGGGTGGAGCTCCACCCACCAATGGGGGCACTGAGCACATGTTCGGCCTATGTGAGTCCAGGGGAGACCCAGAGATAGGGGTGTAGCCCATTCCCCTCGCTCCTCCTCGAGGGCACAGACCACATGCAGGAAGCCAGAGAGGACTGAGCAAGCCTGCCCCATGCCCCACCAGGTCAGGCGGCACAGACGCTGCACTGTTGCTAGTGTTGTGTACTCTCTACTTGGCTGCCTCAGACAGTGGGGCAGAGGGGAGGGGGGGTCTAATTCCAAACAGTGATGTTGATACTGGGATCAGCCTGCCTGGATTCCAATCCTGGCTTCACTATTAACTAGTGGTTTGCAAGTCACTCTCTGGCCCAATTTTCTCATCTGCAAAATGGGCCAAATAGTCTGCCTTATGCTAATTGTTGCGGCTCAGATGAAACGATGCATATAAAAGGCATGGCCTGGTGCCCTCAGTAAGTGGTAGCTACTATAGTTACTTATAATAATAATAATACAAAAACTATACTTACCTCTGAAACAGTATAATGGCCATAATTAATACTTTTTGATGACTCGGAAGGCCTTCCAGGGATTTCGAGGCCTTACAGCCTTAATTAGGAGCATCGGTTCAGTGGATGTGCTGATTAACAGTGAGTTTAAATGTGAAGAGACCACTTTTTACTGTACAGTTGACCCTTGAACACCACAGGATTGAACTTACACGTGGATTTTCTTCTGCCTCTGCCACCCGTGAGACAGCAAGACCAACCTCTCCTCCTCGTCGCTATTTTCTTAATGCTATTAACTTTTCTCTAGCTTGCTTTTTGTAAGAATATGGTATATAATACATATAACATACAAAATACATGTTAATTGACTGTTATTGGTAAGGCTTTCTGTCAACAGAAGGCTACTAGTAGTTAAGTTTTTGGGGAGTCAAAGTTGCGTGTAGATTTTCGACTGCATGGGAGTCAGCGCCTCTAAACCCTGCATTGTTCAAGGGCCAACTGTACTTATATATTTTACCCCCAGAAACAGTAGCAATGTATATAATAGGATTTTTCTTTTCCTTTTCCTTTCCTTCCCTCCTTTCTTTTTTTTTTTGTAATTAAATAACTCAAAGGCTTTCGTGAGCATTTGGGGGATTGAAATACAATTACCGTGAGTCTCAATCGATCACACTCAGGATAGGAATTCTGGCCACACGTCCCTGAGAGGTCCCTCCTCCAGGCCACAGATCTGAGGTGGCAAGGGCCTTGGCCTCTGGAGTCCGTGCCTATGTACCGAGATGGGTGCTGAGAAGGAAGAGGGCCTACCTACGGCCTGGCCTCCTCTCAACGTCTGATGTTTCTTTAAATACCTGCAGCTATTCCTGTTCCCAGGGGAGAGTGCACGAAACGAAGCCATCTTATACCACCAGAAGCACATGGTCATGACCCTCCTGGCCACTTTCTTGTACTCTGCACACCTGCCGGAGCGCCTAGCCCCTGGACGCTTTGACTACATTGGTGAGTGGGCGGTGGCCCTGCCACTCTGCTTGTTACCCTCCTGCCTGGGGCGGGGTCCCATCCCTGATTCCAGCACACACGTAGCTGTGAAGGGGCAGGCAGGGGCCGGGAAGGAGGCCAAGGCGAGTGATGTTGCAAGTTGACAGGGCCCAGGATGTCCATAGCTGGTGCATTACCAGTTAGGATGGGGGAGGATGGGGAGCAGAGGGGGGCCAGGACCTGAAAGCATTCAGATGGGGCATGGAGCCAGTGAGTTCTATTGTTACCTAAAATATGGAATCCTGTTATTAAATGAGCACTGGGGGTAGCCATGGAGAGGAAGAGGAAAGGCAGGTGCAGATGGCCCTGAGGGTCACAGACAGCAAGGAGCTGTGCAGGGGAAAGTGCCGTCCTGCGCGCGGTGGGTGGGAGGGGGCCAGGACTCTGGGCAGAGCAGCAGTTCTCAGGGTGTAGTCCGGGGACCAGCAACAGCAGCACCACCTGGGAAAGTGCAGATCCCTGTGTCCTGCCCTAGACCTCCCAAACCGGAAACTCTGGTTGAGGGGCCCAGCACACACACAGAGGCTGCACCATCCTCCAGGTGGACATGAGCTCACAGATGTCTGCGAAGTGATGTGGTGGAGAGGAGGTGTCGGAGTCTCGGGGGGGTTACACCTGCTGCAGGGCGGAGCACTGCAGAATGTATCGCCCCCTCCCCGGCTCTGGGACTGGCGGGAGGAGGGCAATCTTATATCGCTTCTGGTGATGCTGACAAGTGTTCGGGGTGAGAGTTCCTTAGATAAGTACTGCGGGACCCAAAGGGCCAGTCACTGTCCCCACCGTGGCAGAAACCTTGATTCCCCCCAAGCCCATTTCCTTCCTGATTTTCTGTCTCCTATCACCGAAGACATGTGGCCCCAGATTTGCTTTGTTTGATCTGATTAGAATTTTATCTCCTTTTCTTCTTTTGTCTTGACAAGAGGGTTGCAACTAGCAAAATGCTCAAAGAGCAGATTTCCAAAAAGGAAGGAAAGGAGAGGCCAGGGGATTGGCAGCAGTGCCCCGCTTGCCTGCCATGCCTACCTCCCCAGCCCCACCTTGGATGAAGTCTCAGGGGCTTCAGGAAAAATAGGCCTGGGCCTTATTTTGCCACCACTCTGGCTTCTTAATCACATTTTATTTACTCACTTCTATCCCATCCTCTTGAGCCTAGGGGTAGAGTCGAAAAACACACAGGGGGAAATTTGCTAGACCATGGTATATGACAGATCATTAAGATGTTTAGGAAGTTCTCAGTCCTTGAATAACTGAGTCTGTTGGACGTAGGAGTCCTCTGGCGCCAGCCCCTGAGCCCCAGCCTGCGAGTGCTGACCTGGCGTGTTAGTGTTGGCCACAGGAAGCTCCTCCCTGGTCCTGTCGGGCAGGATTGTTGAAATCACTCTTCATGCTTTGGCCACAGTTCAGATATATGCAATGCTGATGGCTCTTTCTGCCTTTCATCTCATGCCCTAGTGAAGATGGGTTTGAGCCTCAGCTGGCAAATGTAGCTAGTCACCACTCTGCTTGGTGCGGTGTCCTTGGAGGGCATGGCTCTCTGCTGGAGAGGAAGCCACTTTGCTGCATCGCATGCAGATTTGGAAATCATACCTAGCCCAGTAGCTTGTGCATAAAATCATACACAGCCCATTGGCCTGGTAAAGCAGGGGTGGCATCTCCAGGAACATCTTCTTCCTGGGGGGCAGAGCTTGGGGAGCTGGTGGCTCCCAGCTATAAGGAACTCACCAGATGTCCACTTGAGACTCCTCGACCCTCCTACACTCTCGTTCCTGATTCTGCTCCTGCACAATAGTAGAGGTGGCCGGGCTGGTGCTTGCCTAGGACACATTTATTCAATACTTCTTCTGGGATAGGTCCTGAACTTTTTTTTTAACCAAAGGAGAATCCTTATTTAACTTTCATGTTATATCAGTTTGCAACGGCTGCCATAACAAAGTACCACAGACTAAACAACAGAAATTTATTTCCTTACAATCCTGGAGGCTGGAAATCTGAGATCAAGGTTGTCAGTAGGGTTGGTTTCTCTCCTTGGCTTGTTGATGGCCATCTTCTATGTCCTCACATGGCCTTGCCTCTGTGTCTGTATGTGTCTGGGTCCCGATTTCCTCTTCTTCTAAGGACACCAGTCTTATTGGATCAGGGTCCACCCTAATGACCTCATTTTTACTTAATCGTCTCTCTAAAGACCCTATCTCCAAAAATGGTCACATTGTGGAGGTCGTTGGGGTTAGGACCTTAACATATGAATTATTTAGGGACATAGTTTAGCCCATAACAAGTGTGGTCTTCTCATCTTACTCCTAGTGTCTGAAGGTTGTCCCCAAAAGCAGTCCCTGACCCTGGGCATTAGAATCCTTTTCTCACCAAACACCAAAAAAGCATGTCTCTGCCCACTGCCACCTCTCTCTATTGGGTCCCGCCTCTCTGGACGAGCTCTGGGTGAGCTGCATCCAGCACGTCATCAGGAAGGAAGAGTCCCTGGTCATGTCTGTGGGGATCCAGCAGTAGGGAGAGGACCACTTGGGAAATGGCCAGAAAATCTGGCTGTCTTCTCCTGGCGCTGAAGTCAGAATCTGAGCTGACTGAGATGCCCTTGGGCAGAGCATGGTGCCTAACTTTCTCATCTGGAAAATGAGGCTGCTAGATAAGTTGTTTTAAAAATGAATGTGGTTTGCTCTGATAGCCTTTTTATTTTTCTCATATTGATTTTTAAAAATAAATTTATTAAGGTATATTTTACATATTCAATAATTCCCCAATTTCAAGTATACAATTCAGTGATATTTTCAGTGAAATTTACCAGGTTGTACAACCATCACCATAAATTGGTTTTAGAACCTCTTGATCACCCCGATTAGATCCCTCACACCCATGTACTGTTAATCCCTTTTCCCACCCCTGCTCAAGGTGGCCACTAATCTATTCTCTATCTTCATGGATTTGCCTATCCTGGCATTCCATGTAAGTGGAATCATACAATATATGGTCTCCTGTTTGGCTTCTTTCATTCAGCATCATGTTTTGTTGTGTGTGTGTGTGTGTGTGTGTGTGTGTGTGTGTGTGTGTGTGTGTTTAGAGACAGGGTCTGGCTGCTCAAACTCCTGGGCTCAAGCAATCCTCCCATCTCAGCTTCCTGAGTAGCTGGGACTATAGGCACACACCACCGTGCCTGGATAATTTTTTTATTTTTTGTAGAGATGGGGTCTCGTTATGTTGCCCAGGCTGGTCTTGAACTTCTCAGCTCAAGTGATCCTCCCTCCTTGGCCTCCCAAAGTGCTGGGATTACAGGCATGAGCCACCACTCCCGGCAACGTCATGTTTTTAAGCATGCGTGCCATAGTGTGTATCAAAACTCCATTCCTTTTTGTCACTGATCTCGATGGCCTCTTGTGTGTTTGCCCCAGGTCACAGTCACCAGCTGTTCCATGTGTGTGTGATCCTGGCCACGCACATGCAGATGGAAGCCATACTTCTGGACAAGACTCTGCGGAAGGAGTGGCTCCTGGCCACCTCCAGGCCCCTCTCGTTCCCTCAGATAGCCGGAGCCATATTTCTGTGCATCATCTTCAGCCTCAGCAACATAATTTATTTCTCAGCTGCTCTGTATCGGATTCCCGAGCCAGAATTACATAAAAAAGAAACATGATTGAGATCATAAGCTTTTCATGCCAGATGTCAACATTAAGCTGCAACACCCTAGCCACCAGAAGCCAGTGGCATGGTCCTGGCTTACGATGGCCTAAAATACTCATAATGATTGGTGTCTTGGCATTTTTGAATGAGTTCATGCCAAAAAGGTATTTAACTGGGGAAATGTCTCTAAATGTGCACTGATTCTGTGTGTGTGATTTTGAAAGGGGAACGGGGGTTCAAGCAAGTCCTTGTTAAGGCAAATTATTGATATTTCGTCAAGTTTTAGATTTATTTAAAACAGGGTTTTAAATTCTATTTAAACAGTTAGATTAAGCACATTGCCCTTGTAGCTTTGTGTTCCTCTTTAAAAATGGATCTTGCTTCATTTGGTGAATTTCACATAGCAAAGCTTCTCCCGAGAGCTCCTGTAGTGGCCTGTCAGCTACTCTGAGAGAGTGAATGGGGAAGGACACTGGGAGGACCTGAGAAAGAGGAAGGTGGTCACTGGGAGCCCTGGGGACTGGGAAAGCATTCCAGAATGAGGGCATGGGTTTGAGGAGGGATCTTCGTCCAGAATTGACTTGTGGGGAAAGGGGACCCTCCGCTCCCTCGCTCTGTTCCCCCACGTCCATACTGCCTTCAAAGTGCAAATTCTCATGTCATTATGGATTTGGAGTTTGTAAGTTTTTTTCTTCGAAGTCCACAGCCAGGTGTGATGTGTTCTGTTATGCTCTGTTTTCTTGTGGCCAGTTTGATCTGCAAAGTATTATGCAGTGCAGATAAAATGTGTTAAACTATGGGAGTTGCCCAAGTTCATCCCAATTGGTTGTGCTCATCTGTCACCTTTTAAACCAAAGAAGGTTGCTATATTTGGGGATGTCATACATTTGATATTGCATCAGCATTTCAAGTATGCTGCAAAATTTAGTATTCATGTGTGGAGGATGTCAACAGCCTTGCCAATGGGATGGTCAAATATAGTGTTCTTAAGCTTTACTGTGAACCAGAAACACCTGGTAAGCTCGTGACAGATGCTGATTCTTGGAGCAAACTGGGAATTCTGCTTTACTCCGTTAAAGGTGGGTTTTGGCTTCCCCGCCCTCCCGCCCGCAGGATTGCAGACCCCCAGCCCCGCACCTGCCTTCAACCGCCACCTCCCGGGGAGAGGACTGACCGCCCAGACTGCCGGTCCGGGGCTCCCTGGGCCGGGCTGATCCCGGGGAGCCCCCCGACTGCCTCCCAGAGTAAGGGAGGAAGGAGATCTTAGCCTGCCACCGCCTCCGAGCAGGCCGCCAGGTGAGCGCCGGGACACGTAGGGAACCCAGGTCGGGAGCCAAGTGTCACGTCCTCACCCGCAGCTGGGGCGCGGGAGGAAGGATTCCTGCTCCAGGCCCTGCCAGGAGAGTCCCGTATAAGGGCCTTCCCTCTGCTCAACGCTCCTTTAAACACAGAGTTCTGCAAACACATGTTAGAAAGCCCCAGATCGTACTGAAAGCGCTTTGCTTTGAAAACCATTCTTCCTACGCCCACCCCTCTCCACCCCTCCTCTCCTCCGCGGAGGCCACCATTAAAAACCCCTTAAAAACACTCCTGACTAACACATGTGGACAGCAACCCGGGAAAGGCCCGACCACTGTTTACCCTTGAAGAGTTTCTTTCTTCTGTCTGGCAGTGTCTTCGCAAAATTTGTGAATCAGAAGTCTTAGGGGACCGTCTCCAGATTTAGCAGCTTGGGGACATCATGTTTTTGGCTGTGGCCCCTTCTATCAATTTAAATTTTGTTATTCTGTTATTTTTGCAACGTTCGGTAATATTTCTTTAACGCTCTAGATCTTGTTCCTTCAACTTTAGACAGCATCTATTTACTCCGTATTTTGAAAGCCTGAAATATTTCGAATCTAGTTTTAAAATAAACGATAATGTTTTAAATGTTCCAGTAATACACAAGAACAAGACAATTAGAACACACAGAGCTTTGCGTGAAAAACAAATCCTATAAACAACAGCTGCCCCCTCATTCCCCATCCCTGGCAGCCCATTAAAATTTATTGTAATTAAATTATTTTTCTTTTTCTGAAAAAAAAAAAAAAAGGTGGGTTTTGTAGAGGAGATCTGCACAGGAGCAAGTCTCCCAGAGGATTCTAACAGGAGGGCCAGGGGCCAAACTGGAGTAAGTGCTTGTGTCACACGTTCTGAAGGCACAGGCTATCAGCTTTGTTTTGCTTTATCTAAGTTTCAGCAACTCACCACCTGAGGGCATGTCCCCCACTTTCTGTTCCAGACTTTTCTACTCTGAATAGTACTAAGACACTGAGCATTTTGTCATTTGTTGCACTACCAATTCTAGTCCAATATTTCACGGTGTTTTCAGGGAGCGCAGAAATGCTGAACAACTTTTAACAGAGGCCCATCGAACCCTCATCTGCACTTGACAATGACTCAGGGTACCTCTATGACAATGCAGGGTCCTCTTTGCTGACTCAGGAATACCCCCGTATCTTAGAACACTGTCTCCACCATTAACCAGCTCCGACACCTGAATGGCCTTGTAAATAGTTCGTATTCTAATCCTCTGAGGACAAGTAACAATTTGTATTGGATGAGAGTGGTTAAGAAATATGATTTCATTAGTTTTATCATCTATTTACTTCCTGTGGTGAAGGCAGACTAATAAAATTATATGGGATGGTAAATTTTTGGTACATTAATTGCAAACTGCATGACGAAATTTGTTTTTTTGGCACCAGCCTGACATTGTTAGTGGAATGTCACAACAGCAGGGTCTGTGGGCTTCCATTTCATCTTGCTATAACTTTAGTTTTATGGCTAAAAAAAGGTCCAAAGTTTAAACACCTTTTTCTAATATTGCCAAAGATATAAAGTGCATTAAATTCTCTTGTTTATAGATAATAAATCTTCTCTGTTTAGCTCAGAAACACGTGAGAGATAATAAGTGATCGATTTGAAGGACTTTTAGATTATTTAATCTTTGCTTACGTTGCTTTTTCATCGTGCTTAATGATGAAATGTTAAATCAACAAAATAAGATCAAGTACACAGTGTTTTTATAAGTTTGGTAAACTTTAGTCCCATTGTGTACTTTTGAGGACAGTGCTATAAATTAAAAAAAATTTTTTTTTTTCTGAGACAGAGTCTCACTCTCTTGCCTAGGCTAGAGTGCCTTGGCGTCAGCCTAGCTCATAGCAACCTCAAACTCCTGGGCTCAAGCGATCCTCCTGCCTCAGCCTCCCGCTAATTTTTTCTATTTTTAGTTGTTTGGCTAATTTCTATTTATAGTAGAGATGGGGGTCTCACTCTTGCTCAGGCTGGTCTCGAACTCCTGAGCTCAAGCAATCCTCCCACCTCGGTCTCCCAGAGTGCTAGGGTTACAGGCGTGAGCCACCTTTATAAAAGGTTGCATCACACTGATTTGGAAGCTTCTAATGCAAAATGAGACTGGGTTCAAATATATTAATTATTATTAAGTAGTACACATTAGATGTCTAATATGGGTATAGTTTTATCCAAGCCATCTCAGAAGGTTTGTCAGAGAGTCAGTGGAAGACCTCGCTGGAAAGATGTCTCTTAGTGAACTGGTTCTCAATCTTTAAAAACTGTCTCAATGCACTTGAGAGATGGGACGCACTCCTATCGGTGACGATGGCTTGCAGCATGGCACTGTCTCAGAAGGGAATGTGGTGGGGAGGCACACTCCTAACAAGATGTACCTCCTCCTCCTCCCCTTGCTTGAGAAACAATACTCTAAAATTTACTAGACATTACAGTTGTCATAAAACTTGAGTGTGTTTGAATGAAGCCGTTTTAGTCAACTTTACCTCTCTTCCCTCATTGAAGGGTATCATTTTCCATTCCTCAGTTTTTAGAAAATAACTCTCATCTTTTTTCAAAAGAAATGAATTTATAATTGTTAATAGAACACTGCAAAGTCTTTTGAGTACAACAGGATTTAAATATTTGGTCTGCTGCAAAGTGTTTTTTTTTTGTTTGTTTTTTGTGGAACACGCTTACATGAGACGTTCTGAGGAAGGTGGAGTGGAGTAGAATGGTTTTGTCAGATATGTTCGCGAAACCGTCATTTGAATCTATCGTGTCCCTTTTTATATGAAACACCGATCAACACTGTACAACCCTTTATAACGTATTAGTTGAATGCCAGCCTCTGATTTTCTAGTCAGCAATCCATTATGGCAAAGACCGACGTCCAAACTCAGAGATGTTCTTCCAACTTACATTAATGTCTGGTTTTCTTGAACTGTGTAAGAGAAAAAATAAATAGAATGTATTTATTATCATAAAGTTGTCCTGGTTGCCACTTGATTTGGTTATGTTTCACCTACCATACTGCAAACGTGTTCGTTCTTCATGGGAAAATAATTCCTGCGTCTGGTAAATCATTAAACGAATTTAGTGCCTGGTATGTATAGAGTGGACGCTGTCCTAGAAGCTGGGGAAAACAGTGAACAGAAACTATGGTGTCTCATGGGGCTAGTGTTCTGGTTGGGCAGGGAGACAAGATATATGGATAAATTCAGATAATTGCTGAAAGGAAAATGGGCCTGGTGAAGGATTAGGGAGAAGGGTGGTAGGGCAGGGGAATTGGATGGCCTCTCTGGTAAGCTGGCATTTGAGGGGAGATTTGCTGGGCAAAAAGGAGGCAGGCTTGCCGGTGTGCTCGGGAAGGCATTTTAGGCAGAGGCAGCAGTAAGTACCAGGGCTCCACGGCCAGCAAGGGCTTGTTCTATTACTAGGCAGGATGGACATCGGGCCACTCCAGAATTGTGTAACTCCCGAAAACGTCTGGATGACTTGACTTCTGAAATGACATGAATTCTGAAATTTTCCTGAGTTTTCTTCCTGGAAGATTGCCTAAAGAGCTTTTTATGTCCCTCCCCTTGATAATTTTATGGAATGCTTCCACTCAGTAATAAATGCATTTCAGACAAATAGAAAGTTGTTAGTCCCATACTCTTCATGCTAAGCAACGGATTTCTAAAAGTGGCTTAACTTTCGCCTCCTCCAGAGTATAGAATGAAAGGACCGCAAAGAACATTTAATTCAGCCCTTTTAAAATTCGTTCAATAGAAGATAAAAAGGTAAAATAAATAAAAAAGAAAAAACTAAAAAAATTAAAAGGTGTTCGATGGTGTAAAATGCAGATTCTCAGACCCAAAAGTACTGACATAGAACACCAAAGGAGAGGGAAGGGGTCCAGGGGTTTTGAATTTTTAGCAAAAGCCACAGGTGATTTTTAATATAAGGGCATTTAAGAAGCACTGATATAGTCCACCTATTTTTTAAAAAATATAATTTCAGACTTAGAAAAATGTTGCAAAATAGTACAAAAAATTCGCAGGTATGTTTCTCCCCCTTCCCCCTTTCTTATGTATAACTCCCTTCTCCAACAGTGCAAAAGCCAGCTCCCATTAGCCACAATGTATTTACTTATTTGCTCAATGCTAGAATGTACGCAATGTTTCAGAGTAACATTCAGATATAGAATGGGGAAAGAAGTCTACCAATCAGAATTCAATCTGTTTCAAGTTCCTTTTGTCTTGACCCTGAAAGTCAGCCTGCATCTAAATAGTCAAAATTACTTGGGTTAGTTATTACCCCCTTTCTCTGTGACTATACTATTCATTTGAAATATAATTCAGATCATTTGTTTCTTTTTGTGTGAATTTTACAG